GCATAGCAGAAAGAGAGTCTCCAGGTCATCGACCATTTGAATAGCAGTTGTTTCAATCCATTTAACGAATTCAGGAGAGTCGGCGTCGGCACAGTGTGAATGCTTGCAGCCGGCACAGGTAAACTGATCATTAGTATTATCCCCCGCTTTCCAGCTTGGACATTTGCAGTCAAAAACCTGCAGAGGACGTAGGCATAAAATTAGTGCGCAGCAGTCGACGCCACGGGCAACAATGGGAAATGGGCAAGGGAAAACAAATTGTTTGCCCGTGAAGAAAGGAAAGTAAGGTACCTACTGGTTTGATTAAATTAAAAAATTTCTTGGTCATTGGAGTGGTCTTGGTACCCAATGCACAGGAACTAGAAAATTGTTTCACTCAGACGAAATAATCTTGCTAATGAAAAAATATAAGAACTAGGAACGCTGGCCGAGAAATTCAGATGTTTTCTCAACCATCCACTTTAATCTGCATCAAAGTCCTTCAGAGGTTTTAAATGATTAGCACTTTAACCAGAAATGTCCGCCCGAAGTTTAGCTACAATGACTCTCAAATGGAAAATAAAACCGATTTCATCATATCAGTAAATTTGGCGATAAGGAGGAATCCGTAAGATTTTTGAGGGACGCTATTACTCTCTGGGAAATGTAAAAGCTCAGAAATTGGCAATAATCATCGTAACATCGCTCCTGTAAATAAAGACGGTTATATATTCGCTCGGATTTCCTTCAGTTCCTTGAGCTTATGCATAGAACGTGAATTTCTAACAGAGAGCGTATTATATGGTATTGCGCGATATACCATACTGACAGCACACTTACTGCCTAATGCACAGACACTTCGTAGATTTTCTGCCGTTGCATAACAGAGCTACGCGAGGTAGGTTTTATCAGTGGTTTCCTTCGTGCGGTTTAGGGTACGCATTGCAGTGCCCAAATTTCCCATATTTAATCATCTGAGAAAGCAATGCGTCAATGGGTAAATTCTTCGAGACAAATCTCTGCAGGCTTGGATTTACTCCAAGTTGGACCGCAGAGGACGGTATTAGACTCACTGGTAGGCCTAAACCCTTGCAGGTGCGTCGTGCTGCCGCAGAAAATCGGTGAGCCACGTGTAGGATCTTTTAGCTAGTACCCGTGTTCTCAATATGGTAAATCATGCAATATTTACCAACTACTGACTTTTTTTAGTACCTTGTCAATATTGCGCGTTTATCGCGCTAAAGTGGATGGATTTTGGCTGAAAAATATATATGAACTTTCTGTCCGAGTGGGGAAATATTCGTCCCGAAGGATTTTCTTCGAAGAATTGCATTAGTTTAAAAAGAGGACTAAGACCTAAAAAACCGAAATTGCAATCACAGCTGTTTCGCGACAAAGAGGAAGCTCTTTTCCGTCTTGCTAAGTTTTTTTGTACCGCCAAACGGAATAGACTATGGAAAATAATGATCAAATTCCGACACTTAGAAAGGTATATCTCAGTCTGTGTGACAGCAGAATTCCGCATATTGCGGACAAACTCGGAGGCCTCTATAGGGAGAACAGGTTTTGTACCGGCTCCAACTCTGATCAGTTCCGTGTTTTCCGAAACGCCTCGGCGATAAGCAATTGATGTCTTGTACCAAACCGATGAAAGTTAATGAATACCTGTTATATTCGCGTTCGCAAAAGGCAAAACAAACAAACTAGGCCAAAAACGGTGCACTCAGAACCACAAAGTGAATAAGCAACGAAATATGGACATATTGCCTCCAGAGGCGCGACTGCCAAAGTAAATACCAAGAAAGGCACAAAGGCACCAACAACAGAATATTAGGAAACCTTAACCATGTAAGTGATAACTATCGAGTCACCGCCGTAAACCAAAAATCGACGGCATCGAAGCCCAGATCACAGGTGACATTCAATCCTTCGACAGGCCTTACAGCACACTCTAGAGGCAGCATGGTACCCATTTCATTCTCAAGCGGGCAGCGCACAGGGCTGTTCTTTTAACCTTCTTAAAGGTGGAGGCGTAGGGAATCTATCTAAATCAAGTGATTAAGTATAGACGATTTCATCTAGACTGACTTCGGATAGCTAAAAAGGAGTGACTGAAGTTGATAAGAACACCGCATTTGAAACGCTAAAAATGCACTCAAAGAAGTCTCTACAAAACCCTTTTTTGAACGAACGAGGAACAATGCCCAGGGGCATTGAAGACGTTCAACAACTGGAGGTATTGGATCGCTTAGACAGCCCAGATCCTTCTAATTTTTCTATCCGGCCCCCTTTCGAACAAACATCTAGACTGTCGGTCAAGAACTCAACCATGCGACTGCATTTTCTTTACCGGCTGACTGTACTAATGGGCACATAATGCGCTCACCTGATAGCGAAAGCTTCCGGGATGTAATCTTGTTTGCACCCAAGACTATTGCCAACTTGATTAACTGAAGTCATACGTTGATGGCTTGAAAACTGACCTGAAGCGCACCCCTTGCTCTTTAGTCTTCAGGTTGCGAGGTTTATGTCTAAACTGGGTTAACCTAACTCAAAATTTGCACTCTGATCGAATACAATGAGGAGCGACCAGTTTTCATATGGTGTGTTTAAAGCATGAGTCGAAATAAATAGTCCAAAGCGAATTTTGCCAAAAGCACAAGCAGTACAGTTGCCGCTGCTATCGTGAGTCAAATTGTTTATATTCGAGGAATAACTTCAGAGAGTGGTCGAAAACCGAAACACTCACTGAGTCGTTCACCCGTAGCTGGTGGAGATAGAGCTGCTGGCTACCGGGAGCGTCCATAGGTGGCGGATAGTGGAACGGTCTTTAGTGACGTGTAGCTATAAAATAAGCACACATTATGGTGTAATGAACAAGCAGTCGCAGCCCAACAACAACAGTGCTAACAGGGTGCGGAAGGCTGGAGTCTGGCTTTATAAAAATCCACAAAGTCTAATGGTAGCACTGAGAAAAGACGAGCGTGAACCACCACTAAATAAGTTTGCTCACAACCGCTGCTTTGTGGCTAGATTCTTGAGCCAAAGCGCTAGGGGAAAAGACCTCGAACAAACCATCCAAGCGGCAGATAAGGACACGCCATTCCCAAAAAACCTCATGAAATATGTCCGAGTACAGTATTACGATGAATGCTCCGGTGTCGGAGGGGATCGACGTGTTCTGAAACCCTGGTGCAGTGGTGTGAGCGAATGGTACGCGAGCTGGATCCTCAGTCGGGAACGGACTCTTGGTATTGGATACTGGAATGTGTGAAGATTGCTGGGCGCGCAGCCTTTGTCAGTAAAACCTAAATGCCTGAAGGCTGAATTCCTGACTCACGCACTCGGGAAAAATAGCATTAAAGCCAACTGACAAATCACCTGGGTGTGCAATGGACCACGCGACTCGCGCGATTGCTCTCTTGCAGCAAGTGAATCATGTACTAATTGCTTGGGACCTGTCAATGACCGAGTGGCCTACTTGCGACCGAAGGGTCACCACACGAACATCTTTACCATCTTCGTATAGGCACCAACTTCCACTGCCGAACAGAAGGATGAAGAGACGTTTTATTTGAAGCTGCGAATATTGTTTAGAAGACTCTATCGCCGTGATCTGTTGATTGTTGCCGGGAACTGAAATAGCCAAAATTGGCCTCAGGAGTCTACAAATAGCAATCTAATTGGCTTCTCTAAGTTTCTTCCTTAGTGCGGCAATGATGACAGAATTCTGAATTTTTGTGATCAAAATTGACTGTTTTCCCCCAACACATGCTTCCAGCATCGCTACAAACATCTGCTGGCCTAGTATTTAAACGACGGTCATAACACAAGTCCGATTTATTACATTCTAGTTGGTTCAAGTTTCTGCATTTGGGTTTACAGTAGCAGATCTCTGCGTGGTATCGAGACAGGAAACGCATATAGGGCAGACCATGCTCTCGTTCGCACATGCTTGAAAGTTTACCTTGCACCCGTGCCCAAAATTCCACATACCAGAGACCTCGATGTCGCAAAATCGAACAACCCAA